CATCTCTGGTGACCCAACATTATGTTTTTCTTCAGTGATCATATTTCTAATTAATTGAGCCCCTATGAAGTGGGCTATTCTAAAGTTATAAAACAACTGGCTAATATATAAATGTTCTCAAGCTATTGTGATACAGTTTAATCTTTAGCTGACAGGTGAAACTAAGGGGTCTATTCACTCAGCTGTCGTAGGCAGCCGAGTGAATGACCGACCTAAAGCGAAGTGAGCTGAATGCTGTTCGGCTATTTACTTCAGGCTGGTATGGCTGATTTCAGATGTATATCGGCTGAAATCAGCCGTACATCGGGTGGTTTCGGGTCGGCCGAACATGCAGAAGGAGTTCGACTCAGCCGATCCAACATCTGGACCGGCTAAGCCGAACCTCCGGCAGGCTACTCGCTGCTGTTCGGTCTATTCTTATAGATGCCGGACAGCAGTGAGTGAATAGCCGAATGCCACTGAGCGGCATTCGGCTCGGCTGTTCTGCTCGGTCCCTCTGTGGGACCGAGCAGAACAGAAAAATAGTTTAAAAAGTAGAAAAAAATAAATAGAAAACGATTGTGCGGAGCTAGCAGTGACTATAGTGAATAGGCCGTACAGCAGCACTTCGGTTCTACAGAACCGAAGGGGTCCTGGGGCCGAAGCTAGCCGAAGGATCGGCCGAAGCTACGGCTAGATCCTTCGGCTGCTTTGTGAATAGACCGCTAAATGTTTATTATGTGTTAAGATGAGTTAACCTGCTAGAAGCATGTGAAATTTATTTTTCCATTTTATCTGAATTTAAAAATTGCATGTGAAAAAATGTGTTTATGATTAAAAAAGTACAGTTGCTAGGTGCCCCTTTGTATAAAGGGCCACCAAGATTCTGCCCCTCTACCGATTGAGTAAGGGGTTGTTGTTACCTCTACTCATTCACTAAGGAAACACAAATAGTAAATAAAAACACTACATAGTTTTTGACAATTCCTTTATTAAAAGCAACAAAAAAGTCTCACAATGTTAATCCAGGGTCGATCATGTCATTCAGTGATGTAAATCGTTCAGATCACTGAAATCCCAATGCCATTTAAATTGCAATAGCAGTCTGGGTATTGCTCTGCCCACTGCCTTCTGACAATCAGCAGAGGAGCAGACCTGAGAGAGAACTTTCTCAGGTCTGCTCCTCTGCTGATTGACAGAAGGCAGTGGGTGGAGCAATAGCCATCCTGCTATTGGCTATTGCAATTTAAATTAGCCAATAGCAGGGTGGCTATTGCTCCTGCAGGGGAGCGGACCTGAGAGAGGAAGTTCTTTCTCAGTTCCTTCTCTGCAGATTGACAGCAGACAGTGGGCAGGTCCAAAAGCCAGCCTGATATTGGCTATTTCAATTTGAATTAGCCAATAGCAGGCTTTGTTTATTTCTTGCCCACTGTCTGTTGTAAACAATCCATCAGGCGGGTGAGTGGCTGGCATTATTTTTTAGCCAGGTTGTCCAGCATCGGGATTTCAGGATCCAAATGATTTACATTGCTGGACGACATGATCGACACTGGATTGACATCGTGGGACATTTTTTTGTTTTTAGTAAAGAGATAGTCAACAACTGTTTAGTGTTTTTGTTTACTATGTGTGTTTACTTAGTGAAAGAGTAGGGGTAACAACAACCCCTCACTCATTCCTGTAGGTAGGGAGGCATCTGGGTGCACCCTTCATCGAAGGGGGTACCCAGAGTCCTATAAGCTCCCCAGCCCATAGTCCCCTACAGCCACTGGGCCAGGATTGTGGAGAAGAGACCCTTGCCCAGGTAGGGAGCTGTGTGCTGTTTTTTTATTTAATTATTGTTTCTATGGACTGTCAAAAGTGAAAAAGATAAATGCCACTTTTTTTCTAATGTCACTTTGCTGCAGAAAAAATAAATATAATTTAACAACCGAAATTAGTTAGAATCTAAATCCCAAAACAGTCCCATCATTTCATCAATATTCGTTAAAAGTTTTATATGAAGGATATATGACTCCTGTAATGACAAGCATTACATTGTATGGTCTTATTTGTATGTAATTGTAAAAATGGATATTAGTTATAATATTCACCAGATGTGATGATATATTAATACAATCTTTTTGCATTTTAGATGTATTTTCTGATATCTACAGGGCCTAAAAACATCCAATTATGGTTTTTATGTAAATATATAAGTAAAGGTCCTTTATTTGTATGATCAACTGTTAATCCTCTCCGAATTTCTGATCTTTTTACAAGAATGTAAACATGCACCAACCTTCATTTTCATTCCTCACCCTTCAGTTGGGAAACCACTGGGTACCCTGGAAGATAACTTTAGAAGGACAAAGATATCTGAAAGGTGACTCCCCGTGGGTCTTTATGACATATAATATTATATATTTTAATACCATTTTTATTAAATGTATTTATTGTCCTTATTAACCACTTGCTGCCCGGAGCAATTTCTTACATTTGCACACACATGATACAATCTGAATTTTTGGCTAGAAAAAAGCTTCAGACCCCCAAATAATTATATATTTTCTGTAAAAGCAGAGGCCCTGTAGAGTAAAAAGATGCTAGTTACAATTTTATATATCATGGTATTCGCGTAAATGTTAATCAAACCAGTATTTTTAGGATAAAGTACACTAAAATGAAATTTAGTGCAGCAGAAACAGAATATAATACCCAATTTTTTGGTGAAGATGGGGTCACGCCGGGTAAATAGATACCAAACATGTCAAGCCTTATAATTGCGTGCATTCGTGAAACCACAAAAAAACTACAATAACTAAAATTTCCCATAGGTGATGCTTTAAACGCTTTTACGGCTCATCAGTTTAGTGTTAGCAGTGATTGGTGGGCCTAGAATTATTGCTCTCACTCCAACGCTAGTGATGATATGTAACATGTGTGGTGAAATTTTAGGTTTTTGCACGTAGGAGCATACAACGCGTGTTTGCATTGTATGTGCGTGCACGTGGGGGGCGGGGACTTGAAACATTTTTTTTGCATTTATAATTTTTTTATCTGTCACTTTCATTTTTACAATTTTTTCTACACTCAACTCTATTGCTATCACATAGGGGACTAACAAGCCCCCTATTTAATAGCAAATATAATGTGACAGGTCCTCTTTATGGAGACATCAGAGGTCTTTCACCCCTAATGTCACCTAGGGACCCCAAAGAAGCTGATGAAGCAGATATCTGCTTCACCAGCTTCTTCTTCTTCTGGCTCTAGGAGCCAGAGAATGTGCCCAGTGACACCGGAAGTGATGTAATACACATCACTTCCGGGTCCAGTGATCAGAGGTGAGATCAGCAGCTGGAAGTCTGCTGATCTCCCCCCAATTCATCAGGGGAGACCCCATAGTGCTGGTCCTGTGCTCACACGAGAGACAGTGGAAGCCGACGGATAAGCGATCCGGCACCTGTAAAGATGCCAGATTGCTTGTATTTAAACAGCAATCGTCTGCTGTTTAAAACAGTACCAAGAACACAGCTGCAGCAGCCGTGTTCTTGGTATAACCACTTCCAGCGGATGACGTGTATTTATGTGAACCCGCTGGAAGCAGTTAAAGATGAACTCCATGATAAGTAAATATGGTCTAAATGCGAGCCCAGTGATTACATCACTACTATTTTTACAAACTAATATCTGGGTTTGGAAAGGCATGTGATGCACAAACAACTGGATTTACGTTCTTTGTGGCTTTTGAGCAACAGATTTGAGAAGTTTTTGTGCCTGGAGTTTAGCTTTTAAGTATGTTGTCTTGGTTTTGCCAGCATCCTTAATCAATAAACATGGCAAGATGCAAAGTACAGTAACTAATGTCAACCTATCAAAATTCCCTTTACTAATGTCAATATGGTACAAGTTGAAGTTTAATTAGATTCTATGGATACTACTGTTTGAAGCCAGTCATTTGTCTGTTGCTCTGTTTTTTATTGAATAAGCCCAATGTGTGGGTTAACAAATCTATCAATTTGCAGCATCCTGAAGTTATTACTTTGGATAAATTATGAGCCAAGACCTTTGAGTATGTGTTTCTAGACACCTGTACTTCTGATTTCTGCTCCAGTTCTGATACTTATTTACGATAACTGCCTCTTTCTTGATGTACCCTTGTTATTGACTCTGATTGACCTTGTCTGCCAATTTTGTACCAAGCGTAATTTCTGCCTGCTGTCATCATTTGCTAGTTTGAGGGAAACAGGCTGCAACATACGAGCCATCCACAATAAAGACAATCATCCCTTCAGGAATGCTGTGGTGAACACTGGACAGATCCTTGGACCTTGCACCTTGGCTCTCTTCAGAGCTTGGTGACAGAGATGGTCTACTGCCCGTGTAACTAACAGGGTTATTCACAAAAGGCTGAAGAGTTTGGAGAAGGCAGGAGAAGTGGACAATCTAGGACAACATAGCTGAACTAGAAAGTGATCCTAGTTGCCACATTTTTTCCAAATCAGCTATTTTGGCCTAGATTGTTCACTTCTCCTGCCTTCTCCAAACTCTTCACCCTTTTGTAAATAACAAAAGTATGCCCTGCATTAATGTGTTTCTATAATGCAAGTCATTCATTTTGAATTGGCTTCCAATACACCACAATACACAGACCTGTAGATAGAAAACAGACATTCCTAAAATGTGACTCTCATTTGTTGCTGGTTAATACATTTAACACATGTGAACCTGTTTGGATAGAAGCCCTAAAGACTAGAATACACCCTTATTAAGCATTTCATAAGCTAAGCATGAGGTAAATATCAAGCTACTTTGAAAATATATATTTGTATTTTATGTGCAGCATTTATAATGTGTACATTGTATATGTGTGTTTTTTCTATAATTGTAAAAAATAACAAATCTGGAGATTAAAATAAGACAGTGTATTTTTAAGCATGCCACTTTATTGCAATGTCTTCCAAAGTACATCTTTTTGGAATGCTCTTGTTTAATGAGCTCTTAGCTGGCAATATTAAATCACGTAATTTTGTTTTCTTTAGACAGAACAGTTAATTACACTTTGGATTTTATTTGTCATCATCATAATTGGAAATTCTGTGGTCTTGTACTTAACATGGAAGGAGAGGGTTCGGAAGAGGAAATCTCGCATGACTTTTTTTGTTATACAGCTTGCCATTACAGGTAATAATCTACTAACCTTTTACAACAGTCCATTTCTATGCAGTGTTTAACCTATGATATGTGTCTCACTTAATATAACCTCTATATTCAATATTCTGCTTTGCATCTCTGTGTGGAAGCAGACATCTTGGCAGAGAAATAGGGCTTTGTTTCCTAATGTCAAGCTGCCTTGACAAGGAACTACACATAAGGTGCAGTGGAAAAACACAAATATGCGGGGCTAAAGTGAATAGTAAAGTCAAAATGTTTTTAAATGATTTCAAATGCTAAAGAATTCATTTACAATGGATGATGCTCCTTGATGTTTAAAAATGTTAGCTTCAGACGGAACCCTGGTTTCACTCCCAATCTTAACGGGGAGTTAGGGTTCAAGCATCACAGCCACAAATAACAGAGGTAAAAAGGTTGGATGGGATTATTACTGCATAAGCCCAATCACAAGTAATAGTAACAAAAGATGTAATGGTTTAGGATTTCAAATAGGGTAGGATTGATATCAGCTATGTTTAGAGGTAGAGTTGTATTCTCCGAATGGACCACTAGATGGAGCATGTAAGTTAATCCAGCTTCTCAGTACACACAGTCAGTTTATATCAATGGAAGTGCAGTATGCCTGGGTTCTTGCGATTGTATGGAGTAGCAGAAGGAGCTGGGGGTCCAAGTGGAGTTCGTCCAAGGTCCTCTGTAGCTGGTAGCAGTATTTGGAGGTATGGGGGGTCCCAGGAGACAGCAGGCGTTCAGTCTGCAATATTGGAACGCCATACTGTCTCACTGGGGCGTTTATATAGGGCTAAGAGGCTGGGGGAGGAGCCGCCGAACGAGGCAGCGCACTTCCGCGTCCCAAGGTGGAACGCACCCGCCGTCCGAACCCGGAAGTGGATGCGTGCGCACCACGCCGGGACGCAGATGGCCGGTCCCGTGAGGCAGAACCCTGTACCCCGCGATCCCCAGGTGAGCGGTGACGGCGGTTGCCGTTACAGACTTTTGGGGGGAACCCCATGCTTTTTCTATCTTTATAAATGTCATTTTTTTCTTTCTAAATGTCACTTTTTGCTTCAGCAGGTTCTATACATCGTGCAGATGTTCCACTTTACAGGCAGTTTAAGAGGACCCACAGGCACGATATTTAAAGGAATGTTTCATTTTTATTGCTTCACTTTAAGCAATGTTAAAATCACTCCTCCTTTAAAAACGGTATTTTTGAAAAGTGTTGTTTTTCATTGATACATGATCTCTTTGTCACATTCCCTAAAATTGGCAGGGTCCCCATAGGTGCTTCTAAACTCTAATGCCGGAAAATAGTTTTTAAACCACATTTGCCAGGCCCAACTGCAGGCAGAAATCACAAGCAACTCTTGAACCACATTATTGCTGACTACACTGGATCCAGGGCTGATTCAAACACTTTCACATAAGTGAGGACCCATGAACTATTGGGTATCCAGGCTGGACAAAGGTTGCATAATATTCACTGTAGATTCTGGCTAGTGCTGCAGTCATTGTGCTGTCTGCAGAGGGCCCATCAGGAGCTGCAAAAATAAATCTATACTATAATGATATAACCCCTCTCCCCCAAAGTCTGGTGTTCTGAGCTCCACTTTGTTCAAGCTCTTTGAGCTGCATCCCCTCCCATATGATCTAGCGAAAGTTCATGAGTTGGTCTCAGGGTGGCAGATTCCTAGCTGCCATTTCATTTTTTTTAACGTGTTAGTTTTTTTATTGTCTTTTTTTATTTTTTATTTATTCTTTCATATTGATGCTGTGGTTGGGCAGCACAGAGCAGAGGTCTCCCATGTCTCCAGTTCCTCTACTTTCACAGTGTAATCTTCCAGGCATTTAGCAGTAAAGTTTCTTTTTATTTTAATATTTTTAGTTTATTATAGTCAGGACACTGGATACATAGTTGCAGGGAGAAATCTCAGCAGCAAATAGTACATTTAGAATAGTTTGCCTTTAACATTCCACAAGTTAGTACCCTCCAAAAAAAATGATTAGCAAGCTTAAAAGGAGAGGTATAGATGCTGTGACATGGAGGTAGTAGGTTGTGAGCTTTGCTAATGTAAACCTCTTCTTCCTCCTTCTTCTGTTCTTCCTCTCCCTCCTCTTCCCTCTCCATTTACTCAACCATCGTAGACCAAGGTGACCTCTTCCTCCTCCCTCCCTTCCTCCACCTGTTCCTCACTCCACTCCTCCTCTCCTTTCTCCTTTGTCTTCTCTGCCTGGATGTTTCCACATTAACATATTTCTAACAACTATCACAACTTTTTAAATGTATTTAAATTTTTTTAATGATTTACATTTTTTTTAATGATTCTTATAATGCCAGCTTGGAACTTTAACTGCTTTCATGCCAACTGCCCCTTGGAGGTGTGGCTTAGACAGCAATATGAGCAGACTTGCTTTCTGACTCTTCCAACAGCCATCTACTATACATCCTGAATCTGTGCAATTCTGTTTTTTTGCCTGTATCCTTTATACAGCAAACATCCTAATCACCTGCTCTGCGTGCAGAACATTCTAATTTCTGTCATCACCAAGACTAAGAAGAACAAGGAAGAGCATGTGTTGGCTGACCGCTCTATCCAAGATGGCAACCATCTTGTTTACATTCCATTAGGGGACAGCTGCCACTGATTGTCAAAGATAAGATGACTTGCTGCACTCCTTACCGGTGGCAGGGAGCAGAGGGGCGGCCCAGGTTTGAAGTCACCCGAAATAAAAAAAGGAAAAGATGACAAGATACATAAAAAATTGAAAAAGTAAAAAAATACATAAAGAAGTGATAACAAAGTAAAAAAAAGAAATAAACATTTAAAAAATTCAAACCAACCCTGCCACACCCGCTATCTGGTGTGGGGGGGGGGGGGGGGGGAGCGCATTGCGGAACCTGGCCTTGAGGCAGCAGGGAGAGTAAATCCGGTCATGCTTACCGGATATCCCCAGTAAGATCTGACAGGGTGCTTGTAGTGACCATGGATGGCACCATTAGTAACACAGCTTTATAGAAATGTCACCAGCACACTGAATTGATGTTGACATTTCTGAGCCTGATGAAGGGACCCTGTGCAACCCCGAAAGTGCTTGTTTGAGTGGCAACATTTGCCAATAAATGGATTTTTTTAATTTCAACATCGATACAGTGTGCTGGTGACATCTTTATAAATGAATGTAAACAAAGTCGGTAAACTGTGGGTATAGTGATTGATGATGATCTGCATCACTGGACAACATAATTGATCATGGATTTACAACATGGGACTTTTGTTGTTGTTTTTTTTAATAGAGAACTTGTGCTGTGTGATGTGTTTATTTACTATTTTACTATGTATTTGGTGAATGAGTAGGGGTAACAACTACACTTTATTCATTCACAAGGGGGGGGCAGCATCTGAGTGCTCCTAAATGTAAGAGAGCACCCAGAATTTGATAAGCCCCCCTGCCCGCAGATCAACATGGGGACAAGGTGCTTTGCCAGGGGTACATTATGGGTCTGGTATGAATTTTGAGGGGGACCCAATGCTTTTTTTTGGTTTGTCTTACACCTTTCAGTACATTTTTTTGAAACATTCGGATGCATCTGAATTTTCGGTACTGAAAAACTCTTATTTGTTTAAATGCTTTATTTTTTCTATTGGGAAAATCGGATGCATCCGAACATCCGAATAGGTCGATATTCGTCTGAATTTCACCTCGGAACAAAATTAATCTTACATGTCTAGTTGACATTGTGTAGAGCAATCCATATAATTTGGATAATACCGTACAGCAGGGCTCAAAATTTCCACTTGCCTGACTGCATTTGGCGAGTGGAAATAAAGTGAGGGCGAGCCAGGCACGAGATCCATCCGCTCTCTCCCTTCTCTTTTCTCTCCTGCACTTTCAGATTCCTCCTGCTCTGTCGTCCTACGATCGGCTCCGGCGATTGTGTCTTTGTTTAGACAGGTGACAGGAGACGTGTCTGTGTCTATTCGAAGCCAGCGTCTCCTGTCACCATAGATACCCGGTCTCTACTGCGCATGTGCAGGCAGACGGGACCATGAGCTGGAACTTAGTGGCCCAGCATCTAGCTGTAGGAGTCCCTGTTCCCATGGCAACACAAGTCGGCCTGAACTAATGGCCGGGTGCTCTGATCCTTGCTTTGATCTCCACGCTGCTATTTCTCAGGGGGGAGACCGATCTGCAAAGGGTCATGGATGTAATTTGAGCTCTGCAAGCAGGCACTCCAGTCTATTCTTTAGGATAGTTGGAAAACATTCCCTTTCATGATTGTTTATGTTTATTATTTGAATTATCTGGCGGGAATGTGACATCATACTGATGCCATAGGAAGTTGGGGGCAGTTCTTTCACTGTTTTTCTATTTGGTGATTAGGTTTTTCCTGTATAAAGTGTTGCTAGGAGTTGTAGTCCTCTATGGCTGGTGCCATTTTGCATGTTTGGATGAAGTGTTGCTGGGTGTTGTAGTCTTCTACAGCCGCTATTATTCTGCATTTATATATAAAGTGTTGCTGGGAGTTGTAGTCCTCTATAGCCGCTATCATTCTGCATAAATATATATATATATACAGTATATAAAGTGTAGCTGGGAGTTGTAGTCCGCTATAACTGGTACCATTCTGCATTTTTGGATAAAGTGTTGCTGAGAGTTGTAGTCAACTATAGCCGTTATCATTCTGCATTGATATATAAAGTGTAGCTGGCAGTTGTAGTCCTCTATAACTGGTGCCATTCTGCATTTTTGGATACATTTTCCTTTATGTTTACATTGCCTCATGGTAATATTGTAAACGTTGTTAATATTTATTTTTGTAACTTTATTCCGAATAATACATTTAACAATGTAATTTCATAAGATAATTTAAGAGGGCGTGTTTAGGGGCATAGTTACAGCCGCGGCAGGGTAGGGGTTAGGTGGGGTAACTGGTGGCGAGTAACTTTTAAGGCCTGGCTAGTAGCTCAGGACCTAAAATTTTGAGCCCTGGCGTACAGTATATACTACTT